ATGTTATTAATATATTATTTCTCTCTTTATAGATTTCTTTATTAACAATAAAGTAGAATTCGAAAATACAAACAATTAACCAAATAAGGACATGAAGTGATGCAAAACTTTCAAAATTTGTATAAAAAAGAAAAAAAAAAAGCTGTGGATTACAATAATCCTATCTGTATTAAGAATAATCTTTTATAAACTTACGTATAATTTTTTCTTTGAACTTTTGTACAAAATAAGAATCTATTTATTGATATTAAGCGTTTTAAAGAAAGATTTACATTTTTATATATTAAGAATCCGTTGCGCAATTTTTAATCTCGAGGTTAAACGTAATTTTATCTAGAACAGTTACGAGCAACTCGTGGTCTGCGGGGTCCTAATATGCTGCCCTAGTGGCTTTGGAAACGTAATTTTATTTTCCTGTTTTTAAGCTCCAGTCATTTGCATCCCTAATTAAGATGATATTCTTGACAAACTAAACTTGACAGTGAAGAGATGAGAATAAATGAACAATTATTTGTTGTGGCATCACAATGCCGGGTTGCAACTTTTTAGATCTCGATGCACAATGCTCTTGATTTTAGTTGTTTTGTTCCTATACATCATACTTTTCCTGTTAACACGAGAGTCATGCCTGTCATCTAACTCTGTTCTGGAGAAAATTTTTGAATTGCAATAACGTATATAGCAGGGGTGGGCAAGCAAGAGTTCAGTAGGAGCTGAAATGTAGTTTTGCAAAATGCATGGGAGCTGCAGTTCTGTACTTTTTTATTCTGTACTGCAATTTTATTATATAATATAAAACAAATATTGAATTTTTTAATAAACATATTTTCACAAAATTGTAGAAATATATTTATTAAAATTGTAAAAATAATAATAAAAAGCAGAAAATTTTCTTGATGTAACAAGTCCTAATATGAGTCCATATGCCTTAGTGATGAACAATTGCAGCTCCAAGAGCTGCATGCGGCTCTCGGAGCTGCAATTATTCATGCCTGACTTATAGTTTAATCATGAAAAATGTACCTATCTACTGAAGAGAAATCCAAACACAAAAGGGAAAACAAATGTAATGACAAGCAATGTTCAAGGTTTTGTCTATTTTCATAATGCTTAAGGAAAAACACATGTTTAAATTACTATTTATTATTGTTATTTTGAATTATATCAATAATTTTCAATATCAAAACAAATGATATAACACTAACAATTATATTTATTTTTAATGTTTGTTTAATTTCTATGTATTCATCAATTTTCAATCAATAATACATATTAGCTTTCTATTAGTGCAGAATACCATCCATCTTGTTGACATTTTTATCACTTTTATTAGATTCCAAAACTTCCCACTTATACCTACCTAACTATGAAGGGAAATTACTCAATTCTTAGCTTGTAACCATTCCCTCTTGGCTTTGCAGTCATCACCCTTATTTTGTCACTGGCATATATGTTGTTGTTCATGACTAAGGCATATGGACTCATATTAGGACTTGTTATGTTTGAGGAAAAGCATTTGAACATGTTCTTTTCTTGATGTAACATGTCCAAATACAAGTAAATCATTGTGAACAAGTTAAACTACTAAAACTTATATGAAAGACAAGAAGCAAATAATAAAATAAATACAATTTATTTTCTACTCAAAATAAAAAAGCAGATTAATTTTAGTGAGTAATGCTAAAAAGATATTGTAAGTTTAAAATATTGACAACTTGCCCAGATGACAAGAAACAAACTCAAAAGCCAAAACACAAAGTTTAACACTATAGTATTTTTCAGAATAAGAATAAAACTAGTGGGAAATAGGAATAATGAAAATGAAAGGTCTGATGAAAATAAATGATGAAATAGTTTCATTAAGTTTCCAAAATTATATCAAAAAATAACTTTTTCCTCTTTCCAGCAAAATGTTTATGACAAAAATGGAACAGACAAATGTTTGTATCTTGATTTACATTTTATTTGATATTCCAATATAAATGGTTTTTATATTAGAGTTGACAGTAGACCTGAGGTAGGCCTGTAAATCAAACTGAAAACATTGTTAGTTCTATTAATAATCATTTTGCTGGAAAAAAGAAAAGGTTATTTTTTGATATTTACAATTGGTTCCAGTTTTGTTTTATATTTTCTTTTCCAAAATTTTTTAGTGTAAATTACTAATGTTTTGTACACAAATAAAAGAAATACAGTGGTGCCTCGTATAACGTACTTAATCCGTTCCAGGTGCACGTCCATTAAGTGAAAAGTCCGTTATACGAAATGCATTTTCCCATAGAAATACATGTTAGAACATATAATTCATTCTGCAGCATAAAATAACCGTACTGTACCATAAAAAAATGAAAATGGAGTAGTCATCAATTATGCCGGGTAGTCAGATGTTGTGAGGAGGAGGTGGTGGAACACTTTCTTCACACAGATACAGACTTTTTACACATTGCAGCAGGTCTCTTTTTATTGGTTTTTAATCGGAGTCAGATTCTGGAGAGGTTACCGGAACTTACAGGGTCAACTCCTCTTGTTCCATCCTTTGTTTTTTTTGGCAGCTGACTTCTTGAAAAACATGTCCAAGGTGATCTGTTTCTCTCTCTTCTTCAACACCTGTCGGAAATGACAGGCAAGGGTGTCATTGTAGAGATCATTGATCCTGTTGGCCTCAGCTCTGTTTGGATAATGAGTGTTGGTAAACTCCTGAACCTCTCCCCATTAGACAAAGAAGTCCTTGTCAACTTTCACTCTTGATGATTTCTTGCTTTGTTTCAATTGAAATCACCTTTCTGTTTTTTTTGAAGCCATAATTTGATCAACACTTGAATAAATGTAAATACCCTGCACTGAGGTGATGTACAGTAAACAAGGGAGCAAGCCGAATTCCAACGGGAGCTCTGTACTTCAGATATATTAATAATATATTCTAATAATACTAATATATTCTAAAAATAGTAGATTGTCATTGGCAACAGCAAAAGAGTGGAAACATCATTCGCACTTATTTGCCTCATGTAACTGCCGAACGGAAAGTCCTTGTTCGCAGCCAGTCTGTTGCTCGAGTCACGTAATGGCCAAACAGAAAGTCCGTTGTTCGAGGCGTACGTTATACGAGGCACCACTGTATATTAATATTGCTACTTATTCTTTTTAAAACTTAATGTAAGAAATTTAATAAAATAAAATTACTATAAGAATCCTGTGGATCACCACCATCCGTCTCTTCACCCATAGCCTCACTAAATGCACATGAAAAAGCCAATTTTTTCCCATTTTTTTCTATTTCTACAGTGAAGTTGGGCTTAGATTTCATCTGAAAAGTTTTTAAAAATAATATTTTAAAATTATAAATGTTAACAATGTTATAAATGTGATATTCAAATTACTTCTCCAGCTGGTGGTTCAGAATCTTGATTTGGGTGGAACTGAGGTTCTTCAGCATCAACTGACTGGTTTATATTCATTTTGACAGTTATGCTGAAATTTATGTTCAAAGATAATTATTATTATTATTATTTTAAATAATTTAATTCATTTATCATTTCCAAACTAAAAGTTAATTTATAATATAAATATAAATTTCTAATATCTTCAGATACAGTCGACCCCCCTATAACACTGTTGATAATTCCGTTTTATATGAATTCCATGTTGTAGGAGTCACTTAGATTTTACAAATACGTGAGCCGTTCACAGCCTAGCACATGTATTTGTAAAATATAAGTGACTCGTACAACATGGAATTCATATAAAACGGAAAAATCAACAGTGTTATAGGGGATTCGACTGTATTTAAAAAAAATAAATGCCAAAAGAATACAGCAGAAGAGAATTTATTAGAAACTGTAACAACCTGAACTCATAAATGAAAGGTAACTGACCACTGAACATTTGTATGCAAAACAAATACAGTAGAGCGTTGTTTATCCAAAAGTCAATTATCTGAAAGAATTCCAGTTTGCAAATTTAAATTTTCGCCAGTGTTGTGGCACTGAATCTTTGGCTATGTCTTAGGCTACTCAAATATTTTACGTTTTTGATACTAAATTAACTTCTGAAGTATAATTTTTTATTGTTTTTATATTTTTCAATATATTTATTTTGTTTGTACAAAATAAAAAAATAATTTTTAATGATACAATAGTCTTC